CGCCCCGCCCCCCCTCACCGCCCCCTCGCCCCCTGCAGCTGGACGGGAAGGTGAGGCGCAGCAAGACCATCCAGCCCCTGGCCTTGCCCCGAGGGCGCCACGTGGTGGCAGCCGGGGCTCAGTGCAGCTTGGCCGGCTGGGGGCTGACCCAGCAGGGTGGGCATCTGGCCCGGGCGCTGCGGGAGCTGGACCTGCGTGTGCTGGACGCCCGGATGTGCAACAACAGTCGCTTCTGGGACGGTAACGTCACCCCCTGGATGCTCTGCCTGCAGGCCCCCGCCAAGGACCAGGCCCCCTGCAAGGTGACAGCGGGGGTGGGGGGTCAGCCTCTGGCCGGGCCCAGCTCTCTCGGTTCTCCGGCGGGCGGGGAGGGGGTCGCGGAGGTTGGTACCAGCATCAGCCCACTTCTCAGACACAGAAACTGAGGCACAGAGAGGTTAAGTGACTCGCCCACGGTCACACAGTCGGGGAGCGAGCCGCGCAGCTGGGGTTTGATCTCCAGCCCCAGAGATAATCAGGGCATAGACACAGCAAGTGCAAAGAGCCTGGGGTGGGAGGAAGGAGCAGAGAGTGTTAAAAGGACAGGAGGGAGGAAGGGAATTGAAGGAGAGGGAGGGTGATGTGGGATGAGGCCCTATAACCCCTGTGGGGGGAGGAATCAGTCCCCCGCCCCAGAATCATTGCGCCCCCTCCCACGGGCACAGGGAGTGACCTTGCCCTGTGGCCTCCGCAGGGGGACTCGGGCGGGCCCGTGGTGTGCAAGGGCCGGGTGGCAGGGATCCTGTCCTTCAGCTCCAAGGCCTGCACGGACGTCTTCAAACCTCCGGTGGCCACCGCCGTGGCCCCCTACATGCCCTGGATCCGGAAGGTCCTCAGCCGCCATCGGTCCCCGCCGCAGGCCTGATGCACCAGGGGGACCGCGTCCCCGTGGCGGGGCCCGTTCCCTGCGGGGCTGTGGGAGGGCTGGAAGGGGACCGCCCCGTCTCAGAGGAACAATAAATTGTCACCGGGAAACCGCGGAGCTGCCTGGACTCTGAGCCCACCCCTGCCCCGCGCTGGCCGAGTGGCCTCAGTTGCCCTGCTTGGGAAGCAGAGGTTGCACGACTGAGGCCGCTCCGGGGCCAGCAGCGGCTCCAGGGCGGGGACACCAGAGGGGACACCAGGGGGCGGCATTGACCACGCTGGAGCGGCAGCGGGAGCCTGGCGGGCAGGGGGCGGGCGGGGCCATGCTCGTCCGGCCCACAGTGAGGCCGGTGTATGGGCGCTGGACCCAGAGCGGGTGGGGAGACGGGAACAGAAACATCCAGAATCTTCTTCTCTCTCTTGTTGTTTGGCAACATCTTTATAGAGGTGTAAGTCACACGCCACGTACCTCACCCTTCTGAAGTGTATGAATCAGTGGTTTTTAGTGCATTCATGGGGTTGTGCAGCCAGCACCATGATCTAATTCCAGAACATTCCATCACCCCAAATTCCATCACCCCATTAGCAGTGGGCACCCCAGCCCCTGATAACCAGGAACCCACTCTCTGTCTGTGGATGGGCCTGTTCTGGACATTTCACATCAATGGACTCACACACTGTGTGTCCTTCTGTGTCTGGTTCTCTCACTGAGCATCGTGTGTTCAGGGTCCGGCCACGGTGTGGCTGTGTCAGGGCCTCACTCCTCTTCATGGCTGCGTCATATTCCAGTGTGTGGATGGACACACTTGTTCGTGATGGACACTCGGGCTGTGTCCACCTCTTGGGTGCTGTGCATCTGCTGCTGTGGACACGTGTGCAGACACTCGTGTGGACGCACGTTTCATTTCCTAGGACCCACGTGGGACTGGGTCAGCCAGGCCGTGTGGTGACTCTACGTTTAACTGAGGACCTGCTGCCGTCCAGCAGGATTGTTCCATTTTATTATGAAAACTTTCAAACACACAGCAGAGTGGAAAGAACTGCCCGGGGGGCTCGGAGGTCCCCACCGTGCGGGCTCAGCCGTGAGCAGTGGGGTGTCTCTGTCTCTTCGTCCACTGTCCCTCTGCCCGTGTGTCCGTCCGGGGGTCCAGCTGAGCGGCTAATGCATCTCCGAGTGAGGTGCAGACTGGAGACGGCTCCCCAGACACTTGGGTGTGCACGATGCTGGGGTCTCGGGGTGCACTTAGAGCCGTCTCTCTGTCTCTCTCTCTGTCTGTCTCTGTCTCATGCGGAAATGCACACAGCTCAGCGGCTGATGTGCTGTTTTGACAAAAGCGTGGACCCCTCGGCCCTCGCAGCCTGGTCTTCAGCTGAGCTTCTGCATAGTTATCACCATGCACGGGAAATAAGTCAAAGGGATGAAAGGTCCCGTCCCCCACCTCGCCCCACCTCGTCCCCTGTCTCCTCCAAGGGTGCTCTGGGCGCAGGTTTGATACCCAGGGAAAGGGGTACACACAGTGCCCCGTGACGGTGACGGCCTTGGAGGTGACCCCCGCCGGGCTGCCTCAACCCGCCTGCCCCACCCCCTCCGGATCATAATCTTTTACGAGGAGTTTCCCTCCCATCCTCCCCCCCAAGGCCCCGGGTGTGTCTGTGGGCGCCGAGCCCAGAATCGGGGTTTGCAGAGCAAAAGTCAAGCATGTTTTTCATCTTGGTCATGCCGCAGGATTTCTTCTCAGTTCCAGGACTTCTGGACGAGAGGACGAGGGGCATGAGGGGGACGAGGGGAAGGGAGAAGGTGCAGAGTCTCTCTGTCTCTTTTTTTGTTTGATGAATTGCTGAAGCGTTCTTTATCCTTTTTTTAAGGGACTTATTTCTACAAGAGTTTTAGATTTACAGAAAAGTGAAGACTGCCGTGTTCCCATGTACCCAGCCCCCCCCCCCCGCCGCTGACGTCTGGCCTCAGGGGGGTGCATTTGTCACAATTAATGAACCGATATCGATACGTGTCATTCACCAAAGTCACACTTGATTCGGATTGCCTCAGTTTCCCCTGATGTCCCTTCTCTGTCCAGGACCCCACATGACATTCAGACCCCCGTCTCCTCGGGCCCTGCTGGGCTGAGACGGCTTCTCAGATGCTCCCGGTTTTGGGGATTCCTCTGACCCCCCCTCAAGGCCGACGGGTGTGGGGAGGGGCAGGTGCGTGTTTAACCTTGAGCTTTATAATGAGGCGTCACCTCCATCCAGAACAGGCCCAGCTCCCAACGGCCTGAGGACTTCCCACAAACCAAACAGTGATGTGATCTGCAATAAGAAACGTGTGTTTGGTCTAGTCCTCGTCCCTGGCACGGAGCCCCCGAAACCCCGGGAGTTTCCTACGAGATAACGGAGATACGGGGTCTTCTGTTATTTGTAACCAGCCCCTTTCAGCCACACCGAGCTTAGGACAACAGTGATCTGGGGAACCCCCCTGGGATGGGGCCGGAAGGACCGAGGGAAGCGGGGGCTGCAGACAGAGGTCTGATGAGGTCGAGGAGGCGAGAGCGTCCCAGTGCCCCAGTCCTGGGGGACAAACGCTCCCGCGCGGACCCCGCCCCGTGTGCCCCCTCACCTGCTGTCCCTCTGTGTCCTTTGGAGAAACTAAACACAAGCGTTTCCTGAGCTCTGTGAGCTCCTAGCACATTAATCGACCCCGAGGAGGGGGTTGTGGGAACCCCCACTTAGAGGCGAGGAGGGTGGACAAGGGCGGTGGACAGGGGGTGCGGGAGGCGCCAAGCCCCTTCCTCCCGGCCTCCCCCGAGGTCGGAGGGCCGTCCCCGCGGCAGGTCCTGGGGCGGCTCCGGCTGGATGGAGATCAGTGGGGGCTGCGCCCCCCTCCCGGAGATGCTTATCTCGGTTCCTCAGCTGCTGCTTCCTGCCCCTGGGGCCCCACCTTCCCCCCCTCAGCTGAGCGAGGCCGGGGCTTGAAGCAGGGCGGCCCCAGCACCGACGAGATGCCGTCGCTCTCCCCCGCGAGGCGGGAGGGTCCGGAAGGCCTGGCCCCCAGCACCCCGTCCAGCCTGGGGGCTCCACGCCGCCCGGCCTCGCGGTTTCTGCTGGTGTTGAAGGGGGCGGCTGAATGGGGTCCACACCTGGTCTGAGGGTCTCACTGGGTGGTTCTCGAGGGGGCTGTGAGGATGCCACTGAGCGAGGGTCCCGGGCACCACAAACCGGGGGGCTCGGAACAACAGGAATTTGTCCCCCACAGTCTTGGGGACCAGACGTCCGAGATCACGGTGGGCAGGGCTGTGCTCCCCCCCTGGGCTCCAGGGGCGAGCTCCTGCCTCTCCCGCCTCTCCCAGCCTCGGGGGGCCCCGGCGTCCTGGGCTTGTGGGCGCGTCCCTCCATCTCTGCCTCCGTGGCCACGTGGCCTCCCCCGTGTCTGTGTCTATATTTCCCTCCTATAAGGACACCACTCACATTTAGGGCTCGTCCTGCCCCAGCATGACCGCAGCCTAACTAATCTGCCTCCAGTGACCCCGTTCCCAAATGAGGCCCCGTTTTGAGGTTCAGTGATGTGAATTCTGGAGGGGACACCACTCGCCCCGGGACAGACGGGGACACTTGTCGCCCTGCGATGGAAGGCTGTTCTCACCCCAGCACCCGACAAGGAGACCGTGGCTCTGGGCGAAGCCACGTCCCACGTCCCTGAGAGGCGGGGGAGCCGGGGGGGCCTCGGGCCCGGGTCCCCCAACATGACACTGGGGAAATGGACAATGGGACGGGCACGTGGGGAGACTGGCCAGCCTGGGGTCTGTCCCAGAACAAACGACAGAGGACAACAGCACAGCTCACGCGGTGAGCGCGGGGCTGGGCTGGCCGGAGAGCTGGGGAAAATGCCGGGCACTCGGGCGTGGACCCAGCGTTTATTTGCAGAAATACTAAGCTTCTCAAATATGATCCTCTCTCTCACATCTTAGGGCTGAAGGTGGTGCCGGCAAGTCTAGGGGAAAAATGTGAGGAGAGAGAGAGAGAGAGACAGAGACAGAGAGAGAGAGAGAGAGAGACAGAAAGAGATAGAGAGAGAGAGAGACATACAGAGACAGGGAGAGAGGGAGAGAGACAGAGATACAGAGAGAGACAGAGAGACAGAGATAGAGAGCAGAGACAGAGAGGGAGAGAGGGAGAGAGACAGAGACAGGGACAGACAGAGACAGAGATACAGACACAGAGAGACACGGAGAGACGGAGAGAGGCGGGAGGGAGCAGATGTCCCCGGCTGGGCATGCAGGTGAGGGGGTTATTATCCTTAGAACTTCACTGAAGTTTGAGGACTTTTCAAAATAAAACATTGAGGGGGCCGGCCTGGTGGCTGAGTGGTTGAGTTTGGGGCTCTCCGCTTTGGTGGCCCAGGTTCACGGGTTCGGATCTCAGGTGCGGACCTATACCACTCATCAGCCATGCTGACGCAGTGTCCCACGTACAAAATAGAGGAAGATGGGCACAGATGTTAGCTCAGCGTTAATCTTCCTCAGCAAAAAAGAGGAGGATTGACAGCAGATGTTAGCTCAGCGTTAATCTTCCTCAAAAAAAAAAAAAAAAAAAAAATTGTAAAACAAAAAATCTTCCTCTTATCCCGCTACAACAAAGATATGGACACACTGGGGAGGAAACCTTGAAATCAACCAGGAAATCCTACAGCTCAGCGTCCAGAGGTCGACAAGGGTCCCTGACACTGGTGAATAACCGTCAACGAAAAGAAACCCTCGGTTATCAGCCTGGTCGACCAGGCTGGGGAAAGACTGGTTATCTTCCTTTCTTATACGGATTTATCTTTGTCTTGTCTTATCTTTATTTTTCGGAGTGCATCGCTAGAAAAGACTACAAACCCACAGGCGCAGAAGTCCAAAGCCCAAAGGCTCATCTAGAGGGACCGTCTGCATTTTCTGGGGAAGATACCGGTGATGGACGGGGGTGGGGAGGGCGGCGGCTCCCGTGACCCCCTCGCAGGGCGGCGGTGGTGGTGGCACTCGGTGGACAGACGCGCCCGCCCTTAACGCCGGTGCCAGGCTGGCTGGCCGGGTGTCTCCTGGGTCCCCGCCTGCGGGCACTCCTGGGCCGTAACAAAACAGCACAACTGGGTGGCTTAAGACAACAGAAATTACACCCTCATGGTTCTGGGGACAGAAGTCCAAGATCATGGTGTGGCAGGGCCGGGCTCCCTCCAGAGGCTCCAGGGGAGGGTCCTTCCTGCTTCGTCCAGCCTCTGGGGGCCCCGGCGTCCTGGGCTTGTGGCCGCATCACCCCAGTCTTGGCCTCTGTCATCACATGGCTTCTCTGTGTCTGTCGCTCCTCTTCTGTCTCTTATAAGGACGTCGTCATTGGATTTAGGGCCACCCTTATCCACGAGGACTTCATATCAAGACTCTTAATTACATCTGCAAAGACCCTTTTTCCAAATAAAGTCCCATTCACAGGGTCTGGGGGCTGCCTTGTTGTCCCCTGCCCATGTCCACTCCCACCCCCAGGCCCTCTTCCCTGGCGGCCGAGACATCCCCCGATGACACAGGTCAGAGGAGAGGACGACCCTCCCTGCTCACATCCCTCCGCGGGCTCCCTGGGGCCCAGGAATAAAATCCACCTTCTCCCCGCTGTCACCGCCTGGGGCCGGGCTGGATCTCCAAGCTCCCAGAAGAATACGCCTGGAGAACTAGCTGGAACATCCGAGCAAGGGACAGAGGTGTGACAGAGAATGAAAATCCTACGTCGTCGTCTCTCCTCCCATCTGTGAATTGAAAGGTTTTATAAGAAAAAGCACAAGGTGAGCAAACCAGGGCAGACACCCAGCGATGGGACAGCGGCCGGTGTCTCAAGCGTGAGGCCCTCGGGACAAGACGGCCTGGGAGGCCTCTGCCAGGGAGGGAAGGGGCGAGGCAGTGACCTGGAAAGGGCACAGCCTGGGCAAAGGCTCAGAGGCAGGAAACGCTGCCAGTGAGGCTGGGGCCAAAGGCGTGGCGGGTGGAGGGCGCCGAGGCCGAAGGGGTCAGTGGGGGCGAGGCCGAGGGAGGGGTTCGGCCTCGATTGCAAGAGTTGCTGGAACGAGGGAGATCCAGGCCAGAGGAGACAGCTGCCTCCTCCTCCTGCTGTCAGAGGAAGCCGCCAGATCTGAAATCCGGGCCCTCCCAGAGGGGGTGCAGGCCCCGGAGGCCAGGGTGGGAGACAGCGAGGGTCCTGGATGTCCACTCGCCCACAGCCAATTAGGGGCACCCGCAGGGGGCAGATGGCGGCCCGGCACAGGGCTCAGGCCAGGCTGGCTGTCCCTGCCCTGCACACGGGCGGGCGGACAGCAGGCAAGGGGCCCGGGATGGACCCGAGGTCAGAGAGTGACCTGTGCGATGAGGGGAGTTACAAGGGTGAGGGGACCGGGTCAGAGATGCCGATGGAAGACGCCAAATTCAGTTACATTTGAATTTCAGACATAGAACAGGCAATTTTGGGGATCAGTATATCCCAGATACTGCGTGGGACCTACTGATAACTTAAAAAGGTACTGATTTTTTTTTTTTTTTTTATCTGAACTTCAAATGTAACTGGGTGTCCTGTATTTCCGTTTGGTAAATCTGGCCACCCAGCCCGCGTGGCCCTGGCTGGCCTCTCCGTGGAGGCAGAGGGGGACAGGGAGCCGCCTGCCCCGGGGTGAGGCCAGGACAGAACAGAGCGGGGATCGGGGAGGGGGACAGAAAACTGGGTCTTCAAGGAGGCACAGCTTTGTTCTGTAAACAAAGGCTTCCCGGCAGCCCTGATATTTCCCATGAGATCTGTCCACAGCCCAGCCCAGCGAGGGCGGGGTGGGGCAGAAATCCTGCCCAGGCCAGGGGCTTTGAAGCCAGCTGGCGGCCTTCCTCCCCCATTCTGCACGTAGCTCTCAACCCCGCTGTGTGCGGCCTCAACAAGCCGGATGGGCCTGGGGCTGGGGCTTCTGGTCGGCTCCGGGCAGTTCTGAGGCTCCAGGCCCCAGGAGTGAGGTCCTCACCCACAACCCCTTCATCAGCAAGTCCCGGCCCCTCTGCCACATCCTTCCCACGTTTTCCTCCAAAGCCCCCCAAAGCTGGGACTCTGCCGGCTCTGCCCACCCTCCTCCCTGGACCTGCCTCCCCGGGCCAGACAGGCTGTTCCCAGACACACCGCTCACCCCTTACTGTGGCCACTGTTTCCTTGTTCTTGTCACCTTGTATGTCTTTGCGTCCCTGACCCCTTATCTAAAGCAGCCGCCCCCTTACTCACATTACCCTATGTTTAATTGAGATAATTCACACACCATACAATTCACACAAGTAAAGTCTGTAGCTCAGTGGGTTTAGTACATTTCAGAGTTGTGCACCCATCACCACATTCAATTTCAGAACATTTTCATCACCCTAGAAAGCAATCCCACCCAATCAGCAGTAACTCCTCACCCATATCCCCCAGCCCCTGGCAACCATGAACCCACTCTCTGTCTGTGGATGTGCCTGTTCTGGACGTTTCACATCAGTGGAATCACACACCGTGTGGTCTTCTGTGTCTGGTTCTCTCACTGAGCATCGTGTGTTCAAGGTCCACCCACAGTATAGCTGTGTCAGGGCTTCACTCCTTTTGATGGCTGTGTCGTATTCCAGTGTGTGGATGGATCCGTTGTGTGGATCCATTCATCCATCGATGGGCATTTGGGCTGTTCTGCTTTTTGGCCATTACGAATCATGCTGCTGTGAACACTTACGTACAAGTTTCCACGTGGACGTGGATTTTCAGTTCTTGTGGGGAGTGGAATCACCAGGTCAGATGGTAACTCTGGTTTACCCTTCTGAGGCCCTGCCCATGTTCTGCGCAGGGGCTGCACCATCTTCCATCCCGCCACCTGTGCACAGGGCTCCGGTGTCTCCACTTCTCACCAGCACTTGCTGTCTTCCGCGTTCTCGCTGCGAGCCGTCCCAGCGGGTGTGAACTGCTGTCTCACTGTGGTTGTGGTTTGCATTCCCGTGATGGCTCAGGATGCTGAGCCCTTCTTCATGTGCTTGTCGTCCGTTTCTGTGTCTTCTTAAATTTTTTATTTATTTATTTTTTTTATTTTTCCCCCAAAGCCCCAGTACACAGTTGTCTGTCATAGCTGCACATCCTTCTAGTTGCTGTATGTGGGACGCAGCCTCAGCATGGCTGGAGGAGTGGTGCCTCGGTGCGCACCCGGGATCCGAACCCGGGCCGCCGGCAGCGGAGCGCACGCACTTAACCGCTAAGCCACGGGGCCGGCCCCGTTTCTGTGTCTTCTTTGGAGAAGCGTGTATTCTGATCCTTTGTCCGTTTTTTAACAGGGTCATGCGTCTTTTTTTTATCCAGTTGTCAGCGTTCTTTATGTATTATAGATATAAGTCCCTATCAGATACGATTCACCGATATTTTCTCCCGTTCTGTGTGTTGGCTTTTCACTTTCTTCTTAGTATTCTTTGAGGCACAAAAGTTTGTAATGTTGATGAAGTCCTATTTATTTTTTCCTTTGTTGCTTGCGCTTTTGGTGTCACGTCTAAGAAACCACTGCCTAGCCCAGGGTCACGAAGATTACATGATCCTATTTTTGCTTGAAATTGTCGTTTTTTAAAGTATTTGTTGTAAGACAAACCCCAGGGTAGGTCTTCCAGGCAAATATAGGACAGCCGGTTACACCTGAATTTCAGATAAATAGCCATACTTCCCTTGAATAAGTATGTCCCAATATTGCACGGGTACTTACACTAAGAAGTCACTCGTTCTCTGTCTTAAACTTAAAACTTAACTGCGTCCGGGTGTTTTTTTTGCTAAATCTGGCAGCCCCCCGCCCCAGGGCACACGTGCACCTGTTCACAGGGATCCCTATCGCCTCCTCTAATGCTTCTTTCTCTTTCGTGTCGTGACAGAACACACATAGTATAAATGGAGCATTTTAGCCCCTTTTGGGTGCACAGCTCCGTTCCAACAACGTTTCCGAAAGAACGAAGGGAAACCAGCCTCCCAGCCCCGCCCGGGCCTGTTTCCTAGCAACGCGGCCACGCCCCAGGCCGCGGGGCGTGGCCTGCCCGGGTCACGTGGTGCTGCCGCCCCGGCTTCCGTAGCGCGAGCCTGACCGGGCCAGCGCGTGCGTACGTGCACCCGTGCGCGTGCGCAGACGGCGGCCGACGTGCCTGCGCGCCCC